GTGATATGTGCAGAACATAAATGTCATAATAAATAAAAATAAGGATCCTTCCTAACAAATAAAAGTAAGGATCCTGCAAAAATAAGGGTCCTTGGGCAGCTGTCAGAAGCTGGACTCAGAGTAAGATCCCCTTCCTAACAAAATAACAGAGCTGAAGGAAACTCTGGAGGCCTTTTATTCCAAACCCCTAGTAAAGCAGGAGACCCTATATCATTTCAGACAAATGGTTATCCAACATCTTCTTAGAAACCTCCATTGTTGGAGTATTTACAACTTCTGGAGGCAAGTCGCTCCACTGATTAATTATTCTAACTGTCAGGAAATTTCTCCTTAGTTCTAGGTTGAATTTCTCCTTGATCAGTTTTCATCCATTATTCCTTGTCTGGCCTTCAGGTGCTTTGGAGAATAGCCTGATTCCCTCTTCTTTGTGGCAGCCCCTGAGAAGACTGCTATCATGTCACCCCTAGTCCTTCTTCTCATTAGACTAGACATGCCCAATGCTGCCCCATTACACTATTGTAAACCTACACCTGGCATTCTTTCAGTGATTCCAGTACCTTTTGGCTCATGTTGTGTTGCTCATAACCATATCTGACTATGATTTTGTGGCTTCCTTCTGGCTCTTGTGACTCTTAAGTTGTCCTTTGGATTTCAGCATACCATCTCTTTGTACTGAATGAACAAAACCTACTAACTCTTCTGAGTACTGAATTTTATTTGGAATAGACATTTTCTTTCCCCTTCAGCTCTTTTGTTTGAAGAGTGATTTATAGGCACTAAGATAAGATGGAATAGCACTCTGGATTGTTTGTTTTAAATTAGATCATTGGTTCATCTAAGTCAATATTGTCAACACCAATTGGCAATATTCCTTGGGGTTTAAGGCAAGAATTCTCTCAGCTCTAACCAGATGAGGCTTGAATTGTACATTTAGTGTAGGGTTTTTTTTAAAAAAAAAAACAGGCAATGCTGCTCCTTTCCTTCATGTTTTCTGCATGCCTCAAGTTTCAGTCAAAGAGGCTGATCTTTCTTTTTGTTTCCAGAAACAGCTTTATTCTGAGTTTTTAGTGGGAACCATCTGACTTTGCTATCTGAAGCAATTCTTGAGGGTTCATAATGCTTTATGTATTTACAAGAAACACGATGAACCCCTGAGACTGTGTGAGTTGGGAATTAGGGCTGTCAGAGGCTTCCTTATCAATTATGTATGGGGAGCAGAGAATTATGTGAGGGGAGCAAGGCTGGCCGGGATCTATCCAAATATGAATTTTGCTCAGTATTCTGTATTACACGGGGAGAGCCAGTTTGGTCTAGTGGTTAAGCCACCAGGCTAAAAACTAGTAGATTGTGAGTTCTAGTCCCAACCTAGTTGCTGGGTGACTTGGGCCCAGTCACTAGGAGACTGTGAGTTCTAGTCCTACGTTAGGCATGAGAGCCAACTGGGTGACTTTGGGCCAATCATAAGGAAACTGCAAGTTCTAGTCCCGCCTTAGGCAGGAAAACTGGATGAGGTGATATTGGACTCCTTACTCTGTCTCAGCCCAGGCCATCAAGCTTAGGCGGCAACCTAGTTGGTCAATTCTTGTCACAACCAATGGATCAACCCTTGATTAGTCTGTAGAAAGCAGACCCTGCATTAGGATAGGAAGAAAAAAAACCAATTCTGTGTCACCCAGTGACATATCTAATCTAATTGTACCTCATAAGCAGAGGATGAAAGAATATTGCTCTTCGTAACCCAAGCTGTAATCTACAGTTCAGAATGTAGCTGAAAGTCATCAAAACTAAGTCACTAATGAATTTATCTTCATCCCTTTTGAAAGCTACGGAACTCATCATTAACAGAATGCATTTTTTAAAATGTGTAAAATTTCATTCCTGTCTCTGTGCAGTGGATATTCTTCCCTCCTTTGAAACAGCCAGAAAGCCTGGGCTATGTGAGAATTCTGATTTGACAGCTATCTGTTAGTGGTCTGATTTACGTATCAAATTGGTTGAATTTATCCTATTCCCTCCATATTTTGTTTAGACCAAATCTGTTGCTTTGCATTGTCGGCTGAATGAAGGCAGCTGCCTCCAGTTTTCATAACATAAGATATGCATATATCTCCCAGCAGGAGAGCTCCGTCAGCAATGCAGTAAATAAATAAACTGAAGGAAATATGTTATTGCTTTCATATCCAGTGTCTAAACCCATTTCAGACAATGAAAATGGAATACTGGGGGAAACTCACACACACAGCAGAACCTAAATGGTCTGTCTGCCACCTAGAGATGCCACCAAGGTCTAACATACAAGCATTAATAGAATGGCTTTAGAAGAACTTGATGCTTTGAATAAAATCTCACAAGCAACCATGAAAAAAAGAAGCTTTTGATTCATACCTAGTGAGGGGTCTTTGAAATTTCTTTGTTCTTAAAATATAATTGATTCCAACCCATAGCACTGAAAAAAAGCCTGCCCCTTTGAAAACCTCCACCCTTTTTTTTAAAAAAAAAAAACTTTTGTATTAAAAAAAATACAGGGAATGTTATTTTGGGCTTTACAATATTCACTGGCAGCTGACAAATGACCAGTGTTCTATTCTACAAATTCCCACAACTGAAGAATAGTTTTTGAAATTAATGGAATTGGCAGGGATAGCAAAACTAGCTCCTCTGAGGAAAGGGCAAAAGCCAATCTAGATTTCTTTCTGTTTGGAGACCACTTTTGGACTTCTTACTTGAAAAAGGTGAAAATGAAGTTTCACTATTCAGGGTTCAGCATTCAACAATTTGATTTGTTAGGATTATAGAAATATTGTGCATTTTTGTTCTTACTACAAATGCACACTGTATATTTACATGTTTATGTTTAAATGTAGAATAAACAGGCATACATACGTACATATGCATGTACATGTACATACATACACACACATGCACACATTCATTCATTCTCTGTCTGGGGAATTCTGGGCGCTGAAGTCCATATCTATTTAAGTTGCTAAAATTGAGAAACAGTGGTCTAAATTCTAGTCCTTGAATCAACTGCCTTGTTGTATTTAGAGACAAGGATAGCCTTGTCTATGTAGGAGAAGAGGCTGAGCTGGAAGGCAGGGTTAAACATGTCATCAATTTGGAATCTTTGCATTGTCACAAAAGACCTAAATGAATTTCATATAGTATTAATTTACCTTTGACCATTTAGTTGACAAGATTCTTGTATTAGCAGTAGCAATAATAAACCTTTCCGTGCTTTGAACTCAACAAATACTTTTGGTTATTTTCTCCTGATAGTCTATCTATCACCAATCTGCTAAAATGCTCTATATTCTCAAACTCTACCCCACCAAATGGGGTTCAGTTTGATTTGGGGGTTACAGATATAGGTAAGCACAGCAACCATCTGACTTACCACCCAAATCTGCAAAGCGCTTTTTGCACAGCATATAAGAAGCAGAAATAAATCCTTGTGAATGCTACCTCTCCACTTACCTTATTGTAATACTTAAAATCATCCCCATAAAATAGTTATGACTGCATTTTATTTTGCTTTCACAGAAAAATTCAGATTGATACTATTGGTTCGCTCTAAAGGAAAACCCTACAGCAGATAAGCATTGGAAAGAGGAGCAAAGAAGCAAGCTAATTTGTATATAATTCCACCTCCATGATGTAGTAACCAAAAATTTCGATTAATTATCTGAGTAATATTCTAGAACAGTCTTCTGTGGAATAAAGGCTACACTGGGCTTCTGATTACAAAGAGGAATAGATTTTAAAATAAGCTCAACAGACATAAACAGGCATTGAGCTGGGAGGAAAGAAAGCATCCCTTTAATCAATCTTTAACCAAGCACCCTGTTTTGTATGAACAAGTGTGCCATCAAATAAGGTTAAATAATCAGCATTCAGTCCTCTTGTATAAGCCATGTTATTTGGTTATAGTTAATTTTCCTTGTACAATGCACGCTGTTCTGAACAATAATTCAATGCAGCTTGGTTAGGAAGCATCTTGTTATTGACAGAAGAACAGTTACTGCTATAAGCAGATCTCAAACAAACAACAATTTGGTTGATTTACCCTGCCAACCCAGGCATGGATTTCTGCAAGTTGTATTACCTGCCCCCTCCCCCCCGCACCCCGCAGTCCATCTGACTAATGTCCTAATGGTCTCTTGAATTGGTGTATAAATTTGAATTGAAATGGTCTCTTGAATTGGTTTATAAAATTAGGTCATATTGTTTGGAGGACCTTTGTGTTTCCTAGCCAGATTGCTGGTTTGGTGCATCATTTTAAACCACAAAGAAGAGGGGGTCAATCTATTCTCCAAAACACCTGAAGGCAGGACAAAAATCAATGGGTGGAAACTAAACAAGGAGAGAAGCAACTTAGAACTAAGATATTTGATGATAGTGAGAACAGTTGACCACTGGAACGGCTTGCCTTCAGAAGTTAGAATAGAATAACAAAGTTGCAAGGGACCTTGAAGGTCTTCTAGTCCAACCCCCTGCTTAGGCAGGAAATCCTATACCATTTCAGACAAATTAAAAACTTCCAGCGTTGAAGCATTTACAACTTCTGGCAGCAAGTTGTTCCAATGATTAATCGTTCTCACAGTTGGGAAATTTCTCCTTAGTTCTTTTTTTTTTTTAATTTAAAAATGAACTTTATTAAAGATTAAAAAGAACACAACGTATAATGTATAGAATACAACATTTCGTTGCAGACAAAATCTATATATACAGATACATAAGCAAATAAACCTGGTTCTAGGTTGCTTCTCTCCTCGATTAGTTTCCTCCCATTGCTTCTTGTCCTGCCCTCAGGGGTGTTCCATCACTGGAGGCTTTTAAGAAGAGGCTGGACACTGGCCCTTGTCTGAAGGGGTTTCGGGTCTGCTGCCTCAGCAGTGGGGGTTAGACTACAAGACCTCCAAGGTCCCTTCCACCTTTGTTATTCTGTCATAGTTGATTTTGATGCTCCTGAATCTCATCCTACTCTGTTTTCTTCACAGTACCTCCGGATGATCCAATCATCATTGGAGGACCGATCATCAGCCTGCGAGCTGGAGATCCACTGAATCTGACCTGCCACGCTGACAATGCCAAACCAGCAGCAACTATCATCTGGATGAGGAGGGGAGAAGTCATCAATGGAGCCACCTATTCCAAAGTAAGGAGCCCTGACAGACACCTGGAATGGGGAAAGCAAAGATACTTCAGGTTTACAGAGGTTTTTTTGCCACAAGGGGCTTCTTATGAAGTACAGGTAGCTGTCAGCTAACAACCCCAATTGGGACCAGAATTTTTGTTGCTAAGCTAGGCAATTGCTAAGTGACTTGTGCCTGATTTTGCTACCTATTTTGTCACCGTTATTAAATGAGCCACTGCAATCATTAAATGAATCACACGATCGTTAAGCAAATCTGGCTTCCCCCATTGACTTTGCTCATTGTAAGCCAGTTGAAGATCACAAAGGTAGCAAATGGCAATCACATGACCTCAGGATACAACCACCGTAAATACATGCCAGTTGCCGGTGGCCAACCACTCAAACTTGATCACATGATTATGGGGATGCTGTAACAGTTGTAAGTGGTAAGGACCAATGGTTAGTCACTTTTTTTCAGTGCTGTTCTAATTTTGAACAATCACTACATGAATGGTTATAAGTGGAGGAGTTTTTTCAGATCCATTCTTTTTGGACATTTCCACCCACATTCTTTCTATCACACAACTCAGGGAGTCACTTCTGGCATTCCATCCCAGCACTGAATCCAGACCTACTTAGTTTTAGAAAAGAGGGAGAATTATATGCTGTTTTATAATGCGCTGGGATCTTCTTTTTGAAGAACAATAGAAGTAGAATAAGTAGTCAGAATAATGCTATTTTCTCTAAATCATAATATAAGAAGCTCAAGTGATACCGGGTAGATGCTCAACAGGAACACCGGAATGGATAAACGTACTATTTTTTTTTCACATACCCTGTTTCCCTGAAAATATGACCTACCCTGAAAATAAGTCCTAGCTTGATTTTTACACGTGCACCCAATATAAGCTCTACCCCCAAAATAAGCCCTAATTAAGATCCCAACCACTCCAGAGTGCACGGGCACAAAATAAGCTAGGGTGGGGATGGAGAAGTGGAGCTGCCCTACTACTTACCTTTGGGCAGTTGTAGCCAGACCTCGCCAGACCTTCCAACACCTGCCTTGCCAGCCCATTTCTTCTGCAGCTGGCAAGGCTGGCAAGGCTTTCCTGAAGGCCTCTGTAGCTGATAATAAAGCTCCGGATTGATCCAGAGCTCTGTTATTGGCTTCAGAGGCCTTCAGGAAAGCCTTGCTGGTGGCAGAAGAAGTTCCTGAAGGCCTTTGAAAAAGGAGGCCGGGGCAACACACGCAAGTGAGGTTAGTCAGTGGATGGCATCCCCCCAAAATAAAACCTGGTGCCTTTTTTGATGGCAAAAATAAATAAGACAGAGTCTTATTTTCGGAGAAACACTGGTACTATGTTGTATGAAATCTGTACATGCTCCTATGTTGTATGAAAGCTAAATGATCAATAGACACCCATCACCTGCATTCCACAAAGGCTGGGGTGATGCCAAACCACTGTGCAGAAGGCGGGGGGGGGGGAAAGACCCAAACATGGAGACAAGCAAAGACAGAACTGTAAAACCAAGGATTTTGGACAAAGCAAACTTTATTCAAGGCAAATTATCCCCACAGCAGCTGGAGAAGCCGTGAACTGGACTGCATACCTTCCTTTGGTCTCCAGCTGACCATTTTGCGAACATGACACCAGGCTATAATTTCCGAAAAAATTCTTGGTGCCTGAGTGCAGCATTATATTAGTTTCTAAGAATTTTATTTCCACTGTAAAGAAAACTCTGCTGCTGAAAATGCCACCAAGGTGCCTCTCGGGCAGGCAAAAAGCAGGAGACCTCGGGGAGCAAAGGCTGTGGAAAGTAATAGCTCTCACCTCTGCATGTTATAAGCCGCCGTCTCAGAGATGTCAGCCTCACCTTCATGTCTCTTGGCACCACTTTTATCTTGGGCTGCCCTGAAGTTTTTATTATTGCAGGAGTGGAAATCGAGGTTCATGTGATTTTGTTGCATGTTTGTATTTTGGTGGCAAGACGATGCCACTTTCCTGATGAGTGTCATTGCTGATCCTTGGTGGGGCTGATTGAAAGTGAGAAGGGAGAAGTAAGGAGCTTACATACCTACCAATAGACATTATGGTGAAGAATGATTAGTAAGTGGGCTCAGCTATGAATGCCAAAGACTAGCCTGAAATAAATCTGATGAGAATCTGTAGTCCAATATGGTCTGGATATGAAGTTTAGTTCATCCTATCTGAAAAGCACCCAGTTGGACAGAACTGGTCTATTCTTATTGGTTCTTACTTGCTGGCTTCAGGCTTCTAGCAAAAGGTTTTCCCTCTTCACTGGAAATCTTAATGATCTGAGTGTCAACTTCAAACTGAACCTGGCCACAGCCATTTTTCTGTTCCTCAGTTGCCACACAGAGGGGGAAGGAGGTTGGAATGCCTTACTGGTCAAAACAGAGAGCTTTCTCATGAGAACCAAGGTCATCTCTACTGGCAATGGATAAGGTTGGGGAAGGAATGCCTGGAAAGCCTGCTTATTAACACAATTGGCCAACGCAACTTGTGATACTTGGAGATGGGGTTATTTCCTATTTTAATTACACTGAAACCATGGGAAAGTTTTAGAGTTGGTTTTCCTTTGAAGCTGTGTCAATGTGACAAACTCAATAAAGGAGATCTTTGAGGTGGATCCCAGTCTCAGAGTTCTGATTTGCTTGGGTTCAATAGTTGGAACCTTGACACTGGGACTTCCCACTGACAAAGCTCCCATGAGATTCGGGACTTGCAACCAAGGAAGGTCAAATCCAGAATCAAAGAAGGTTTGATTGCCTATGTTGAGATTGTCCAAATAAAGTCCCAGCTTGGTCAGGAGAATTTCTTGGTTCTTGTTAAAAATAGCCAATCACCACTCTAATTGGATGTGTGGAACTAATCCAGGATGTAGGAAATCTTAACAGATGGGAGATATTTTTCCCCCAACGGGTTTCACTATGTGTGGCAATTGCACACCAAACTGGGACCAACCCCACATTCACACCATATCTGTGCACAGGAACTGCATGTCTCAATCCTTTGGATAGCAGATACTCATTTCTCTGAAGTGGCTGTTTGTTTTCTTGTTAGCTTTTGTTTGCTCAGGACAAAGTGCTTCTGCTTTTATGAACATCATATCTGGCATTGTTTGGAAGTGATCCAAGGAAAACTATTGCATACACAGATTCTTTGTGTACAATTTATAATTCAGTGGCAACATATCTGATTTGTATGCAAACGTTCCCAGTTTCAATGGTTAACACCTACATTAAACTCTTGTATGAAGCTCAGGAACAGGAAAATGGCTGCCAGCTGAGACTGGCTTAGCGTAAAAGCAACTTCTAATATTCTTATTGATACATATGCATCTTCTGTTCCAAACAATGCTTGGAGGCCCATGATGGGACTATCCTTTATTCCACAGTTTCATAACACAGATATGGTCTTATGAATGAGTCTAATGCTTCCATAAAGCAGGTCTACGTCCCCCTTCCATCAGTGAGCACATGAGTCTATGGAGATTCTCAGTCATGCAGGTTGTCCCAAAGGTGTTTTTTCAGGAGGTGACTGGACTGTTGTTGTTTTTTGTTGTTGTTTTCTTTGAAAAAGTTTTGCTTCTTATCAAGAAGCTTCTTCAGCTCTGACTGGATCCTTCCATTCCCCACCATTCAGTCAGAGCTGAAGAAGCTTCTTGGATGAGAATCAAAATATCTTCAAAGAAAACACAAGAAGTCCAGTTGCCTCCTGAAAAAGCACCTTTGGGACAAATTGAGGAAGTATTGACATGTTGATCAATGTACACTAGCGAGATCAGGAACAGAAGAGGGCAGAAATAATATTCAACAATATTGAGAGCCAATTTGGTGTTGTGGTTAAGGCGCAAAATTAGAAATTGGGAGTTCTAACTCCGTCTTAAGAACAAATTCAGCTGGATAGACCTCAGGTTAGCCACATTCTCTCAGCCCTGGGAAGAAAAAGACTAGGGATGGCTAACCCTTCTGGGTTCCTGTGCCAAAAATTGAGGGCGGGTACGCTCCCATGCCCCCTGCGCATACGCACGCGATTCTCCCCCTGCCCCGTTACCTGCACTGCACCTCCCAGCTGATTTTCAGCCCTTTTGAGGCCTTTTTTTGGCCTGCTAGAGGCTTGACGGATGCCTCTGCAGGCTTTGCAGGATGAAAAATGGGCCCGTTTTGTTACTTCAGGTATTTCCAGAAGTGCAGGAAGTGATGAAACGGGCCTATTTTTCATCCTGCAAAGCCTGCAGAGGCATTCCTCAAGCCTCTGGCAGGCCAAAAAAGTCCTGAAAATCAGCTGGGAGGCCCACGCATGAGCAGTGAAGTAGGTTTGCCTGGGGCTTGCGTGCCCGCACAAATGGCTCTGTGTGCCACCTTTTAGGTAAAATACAGGTAGTTCTCAACTTACAGCCATTCACTTAGAGACTGTTTAAAGGTGCAACGGCACTGAATGGCACTTACAACCATTGCAGCATCCCCATGGTTACAGGATTAAAATGTGATTGCTTGGCAATTGGTTCAGATTTATGACATTTGCAGTGCCCGTGGGTCATGCAATCACCTTTTGTGCAATGAGATTCACTTTACAACTGTGTTACTAACTTAATGCAGTGATTCAAGAGCAGTTGTAAAATGGGGCAGAATTCACTTAAGTGTCTCACTTAGCAACAGAAACTCTGTAGTCGATTGTGGTAGGACTAGCTATACATAGAGTCCCTCTTTCTGACTTTCTATGTCCTTGGTTAGTTAGAGTATCTCTGGGGCTAGGCTGCCTTCCACTCTCTTCCTCCATCCCCATTTACAAACCCCATCCTTCAGGCCTTGTCCTGCTATCATTAAATGAGCCCATCATCCGATTTACATGAGTGTTCTGACCAGTGGTGGTATTCTTTTTTTTTTTTACTACCGGTTCTGTGGCTGTGGCTTGGTGGGCATGGCGTGGCTTGGTGGGAGTGACAGAGGAAGGATATATTGCAAAATACCCATTTCCACCCCACTCCCAGGGGAA